ACTCACTATGGCCCAGGTTGGTCTCGAACTCACAGTGATCCTCCTGCCTCAGCCTCCCAAGTGCTGGGATTACAGGCGTACGTCACCACGCCTGGCTCCAAATTTATTTTAATAACAAATGATTCTTACAGTGAAAGAAGAATCAAATACTTACTCATAAGTCATTGGCCTAATGAAAGCAGCCATGATGTGATGAAAAGAAAAAAAGAGAAAAACAATTTTAATTGACATGAGATTGAGTCATTGTTACTGGTTTGAATACTACTGATTTATCAGAGTTAAGACATAGGCAAAAAGAAAAAAATGCTTTTTCAATTATACAGAGTTATACAACCATTTGAGCTATAAGTGAAATTTTTAAATATCAAATATGCAAGGAACACACATCCATAGTCAAAATTAGTTGCTTCTACTAAGAAACTGTCTAGTTTCCGTCTTCTCATTTTGTGGCATTTCCCCAGACATTACTGCCCGTCCTGCCCGCGATGGACTGACTTACAGGTAAGTGACCGCACAAAACTAAACATGGAGAATCTCAAAAGTATATCAACGAGAAGAAGCCAGACACAGAAGAGTATGTATTCCATGGCTGCAATGGTGTAAAATCCAGCAACAAAACCTACTAATTTCTTGTACAAAGCCAGTGAATTTTTGATGAGACAAATTAGAATCCAGTGGCCTAGGGCAGCAAAGAGAATTGGATAGGAATGAGCACAGCAGAGGTCTGTACCTTGCCGGGGGTGATTTACCTGTAGTATGAACACAAGAGTCTACTTCCCGGAGATGATTCGGACCTCTGTGTGTTGTGGTGTACACTGACTGTACACTTCTCTCCCATTTACGTACAATACATTCCTAGTACCAGATACAAGTCCAAGAAACAATGCCCAACAACACAGAAGCTGTGCTGCCAATAAAAAGCTCTCCTTCGAGTGAAACACTCTGCACTACGGCTCCTCTTATAATCACAGTACACGTACCCACTGGGGTCTTTTTTCTTCCAGTTTGCCAGCACACAGTCTGCATAAACCAGAATGGGAGGCAGACCCAGCTTCTCCGAGAGTTCACAGTAAGGCACAGCGATATTGCTCGGCAGGACCTAAGTAAAGCACGGTTGTTAGTTTTCCGCTGAAGTGCCTCGCATCTCCTTCAGCTCCCTGGCTGCCAACACATTAGGCTTTCTAGATAATGGCACTCTGAAAGCACATAAATGTATTTTTTCTTCCACATTTCATAATTTAACCCAGTAATTATCAAATATCCATGTTTTGGGTTTAAATTTGGGAGGGGGCATAATTTGGCCATACGGAGGGAAAAGAGCCAAGTAACCCTGCCTGTTTTACTTTCTAAGGCCTGGTGTCTTTCCCTTTCTGGTGGCTTTATGAGATATTTTCATTCCATCATTCACCCAACCACCCCATGAACATTTGTTAAGCAATTTTTCAATGCAAGACACACTATCCACTGGCAAAAATAAATACATAAAAGATAAAATCAATTGTCTCACAGATGCCTGGAGTCTGTGTAATTAAGAGTTTTGGACACAATACACCCTGGAAGTGTAAATATGTGTCTGCTCTTGGAGTTCAGTGCAAAAGGAAATTCTCTTGGATAATTTTTTGAAAATTAACCTTCACTATGGATATTGTTGGGTACTTAGCTACCGAGACTTACTCTTACCCGAAGAAAGAAGCTCCTTTTATCTGTTGTATCTGTCACCTTTCCTCTCCTGGAACCAAATACCCAACACTTACAACTTAAAGGCTCATAGTTTCAGACCAGGAAGCTAGGGTTGGCGAGCTCCAGCTCCAGCACCAAGGCAGAGACATCAAAACCCAGACATGGGAGAGAAGTGGCGCACCTCATGGCCTCCAGAAGCAGAGAGAGCATGAAGAACCACAGAGAGTGAGGTAGTGGCCAAGAACAAAAATCTATCCTGCCAGGCCACATTCCCAGTGTGTGAGCTCCAACCCGGCCGCACTTTCTAACAGCACTTTCAGCTATGATCAATGCTTTGATGAATTTAGTGCCCTGGTGATGTAATGTGATGTAATCACCTTTCAAAAGCCTCACCTCTTTTTAGGAGAATACTTTTTATCTAAACCGTAACACCTGACTTGTCTTTTCTCTGAAGAAACACCCTAGCTTCCTTGGGAAGTGAAACCACAGCTCACTCCTTTGCTCCACTACTTTTCCTTTTTGAGCCTGCTACTCATAAAACTCTGCTGTGTGACTGGCACACATTAAAAGGCCTCTGCCCCTACAAGACAGTACTCCAGTTGCCTAGCACCGCCCTTCCTGGTTGTGAAGTAGGACGTCTCACCTGGTAGCCCTTCCAGCTAGCTGTTGGCTTTCTACTATCAGGCATGTTCTCCAGCAGATCCAGTAGCCACGAAGCTAACATTTTATCCTTTATGTCCCTAACTTCATTATCTAATGGTCACCTAGTTTAGAACCGGATGGTCTCACTGACAGCCTGTGACAAGAACGCACATGTCTAACCAGGGAACGATGAGAAGAGAGGGTGTGACCGTCCCCCCACAGCAGTTGTTTTATTTTAATCTTACGAGTTCTAATTAATTCAAGTGGCTTCAGGTCAGTTTAATGAACTCCGTGATGTATTTAACTCAGAGAACAAAGTGTGAGGACAGAATGTCTGACCATCGAATTACCCTCATGTGCTTTCCTTTGCAGTTTGTGCTTTTAGAGAATGAAATATGTGGCTGACAAATTATTTACATATCTTTCAGAAAGAAATAAGTTATGTCATTTTCTAATTGGGAGGAAGATCAGTGGAGATAAAAGGCAAAAAAGTTTAATAGAATAGTTACCTTGAAATGAAAAAGAAAGAAAATGTTCCAACAAATCTATTATAGTCACTCCCACGGCTGTTAGGAAACTCAGATGCTGGTTTGCTGCCTATTCTCAAGAAAAATTGTGCCTTATGTTGACTTGGGTTCTTTTTATTTTTTAACTATAATTTCCTCTTTTTTTTGTATTTTTTGCACTGTTATCTCCTAAGAATCTTTTCAGAATGATGGAGTGTACAAAACTACGATAAATTACAAATATATTTTCTAATTTTCTTTCATAACTCTGATAAATGTATTGTCTCTCAAGATGCTATGCACACTCTGGTCTCTCTGATTTTTGCTAGTGCTTTCTGTCTTCCTGTTTCAAGTATCCTTGTTCCTCATGACCACACCCACTTCTATTTCATCCTCCGGCCTCCTGCTCAGAGCCCCCAGTGCACCCTGAACTTCAGTATGATTTGCACACAGAACCTGCAGGCTTAGTTAACCATTCCAGGCAAGACTGTGCACTTACATAGAATTTAAGTTGGACAACACTAGAATTCGCCTTGTTTTCTGCATCACATGGAATGTGGCTGAAGCAGTCTGAAAGCCATAGTAAAGTATAAGGTATTCCCAGGGAAACCTCTCTGTATGTCTGGAGATGATTTCTCACACAGGGATTACATACCGATCAGTCTTTAAGCAGGATGTGAACAACAACAAAAAAAATACCTAGATAAAACATCAATTACCCTCACCAGCAAAGATAAGCTTTCCTAAATGGCAGAAAATGCTTTTGGAATCTATATATTTGTGACTTAAAATTTAAGTACTATAATCTACAATAGCTTCATGTGATTACAACAGACAAATGTAATACAGGATGCTCAATAAATTTGCATATTTTGTGACATACACATATATTTAAAATTGTTTATATGAAATTCACATTTAAATGGGACTCCTGTTTCTCCACTGGCGTTTTTACGTAGGATGGGAATGTAAGGACTGGAGCTGCACTGCTGGACAGATAATGGACAAGGGCACCTTGGAATTCTCCCCTTCATCTGCCCCACACCAGTCCCTCGGAAGGGTTACTGAAAAAACCTTTTGGTTGGTTTGACAGCAAAACCACCATCAAGGCTAATATCTTCAGCAGATATAGGCTCAGTGGATGCTGTTATGTAAAATGAGACCATGAGTAACCTATAAATGCAAGCATATAAAAATACATATAAAATGACATATTTTAAACTACGTATTTTATGACTAATATTATTAATGTTGATTATGGTACAGTGAAAGCCACATGTTCTCCTATGTTGACACATATAAGCCCTTTAGCCTTAACTAAGAAGAATTAGTCGAAGATACTCATTGTAGTGTCATTTATCATAGGGAAATATTAAAAACAAGTAAAATAAAGTCCGAGAACCCAATGAAAAATTATGGTCTGAATGTCTAGGTTTATTGTGCAGTTTCTAGAAAATATTCACAATGTAAAGTAAGTTACATGAAGAGGCTATATATGCATATGTAGAAAAAGGAGCAATGTGCTATATAAGTAAAATACTAAAATATAGTAACGATAACAGTTGACACTGTAAATCAGTGAGTGGTGTTTTTCTTTTCCTCTTTCCTCTCTTCTCCACACGTTTAAAATACAGTTATAATGCTACTCAAAAACTGTTTTTCTTACCACATGCTGAGCTATACCTTCAGCAATTGAAAGATTTTACATTGTGTTAACTGCATTTCACTGCATGTAAATGCAAATCCACTGTGTAACACAGGGGACATCAGTAAATCTCCAAACCTTCCGGACATCCCCGTCTCCTCGGTGCCATACGTAGGCCATGGTAATGAAGCCCAGAGCTAAGTGTGCCAGGCGCTGTTCATCATGCCCCTTGAGATCATCAGTGCTGAGCATTGGTAGCTGAGAACAGATGGAGAGATTTCACTACAATCAATCTGTGAGGGCTTACAGCTCCAACCCAATGACACTGCGAACACATTATGCAAAAAGCAGACAGGTGAAATTCATATTTCAAACCTTCTCAACTTCTTCACGAAATTGGCCAGTCTTAATCAGCTCTGTCAGATCTTTAGCAATCAAAATCCAGGCATTATATTCACCATGCAGCTCCTCCTAGAAAAAGCAAAAACATAGGACTTCGCTTTGCTAATGGAAGTTACTGTAAATTCACACTGGTCTCTCCCCAACAGCCCACCCAGCCTCTTCCTCCTTTTATTTACCAAGTGTTCTATTGCTCACGCTGTCCCAGCCAGCACTGACTGTCCAGAAGCACTGTACTACCTGAGGGACATGCAGAGCTCCAACCCTTCTCTGAGCTCCTCTACTTCCTTTCTTCCAGAATCTTCACTGGCCTATTTTCAAAATTCAACTCTAGAGTCCTCCTGAAACCTTCCTTACATCTCCATTTGACAACAGCCTCTTCCGCTATAAATCCTACAATTGTGGCTGTTTGTGTTATTATCTGCTACTTTTACTTTTCTTCTCAGCTAGATTTGAAATTCTTTGAAAGAAAAATGAGGTGTATTAAGTATCACTATTGATTAGGTACTTTGCTGAAGAATGACTTATGTATTTCTCATTTACTTCTTCTACTGGTCCAAGAAGTTGTCTCTGTGTCACAAATAAAAGAACCCAGGCTCAGAAAGTTTATGTAACTTGTTTTGCTTATCTGGTTTATTGTAATTCAAATACAAGTACCTCAAACTTTCATAGTCCATAGTCTTTTTATATCTCAGTGTGCAAGGTTTGTAGTGTATGCAAGGACTGTATTGTGCTTGTAATTTTATATGCCCTGCAAGATCTGGCTTATTACCGGACACAAAGGAGATGCTGTAAACTGTGTACTCCCCTTGTCCGTGGAGCTTGTGTTCCAGGACTCCCAGGGATGCCTGGAGCTGCGAATAAACTCCACTGAGCCATAATATTATGGCTTTCCTGGGCTCCAGTCATGTGATAAATCACACCCCCTTTCCATCCCAGCCAAGCACTTCCACAAACCGGACTGTGACTGGTGCAGTCTGAGATGTCACAGTAAACATAGCAAAACTTTATTTGTCCTTCACAATTTCACTGATAGATTTGTTCCTACCAGACATTTTAGTAACCTCAGCACATGGTGCTTCTGTCTTCATTAAATCAAAAACTTCTACCTTTGCTTCTTAAAGAAGCACTTTCTGGCTTCTCTTTGGAATATCTGAATCGTCAGAGATGTCACTGCTCTTATGTCCCCTGCTCTGGCACAAGATTTTGGCCTTAAATGAGTCTTATTTCAGCTGCTGTGCCACTGCAACAAGTCTGTGTCTTCCATGGTTCTGTCTCCCCTGTGCTGGGCTCCGGTTCCATTGGTACAAATCCCCTTATTATTCTGGCTCCTCTTTGCGGAGGTGGGCATGAGCCCTGGGCAGCTCCTTATGGCTCTCTCGTCTCTATTCTCCACACATTTTGACAGTTAAAATACTGATGACAAATGGTTTGCATGACAATCTTTGGAACTCAACTTAGGAGAAATTAGTTTTTAAGACATGAATTTTTCCCCACATACCTTGCACTTTATAGCTAAAACTTGCAAGAAAACAGAAAGGAGTTCATACTCTTCTTTGAATCACATACCCAGTAAACTACAAACACTTTTAATACAGCCCAAGAGTTGCTTGAAGCATCACCCCATAAACCCAGTCATGTCAGACATCAAATTCGCTCCAAATATGTCCTACAGATTAAGATATATGAGGGCAGAAAGAGGCTCCCCTGTTGCTACAACACTGGCTTTTTCAAAGTGCCCTCTGAAAATGCAATTGTGATAAAACAACACCTGGTTTCTATAGTACATTTTGTTTTTGTTAGCGTCAAAAGACTCACCGTAGTTTTATGTTGTCCTTCTCCATTTCTGTGCTAGATAATAAGTAGGAATTACATACTCGACTGAATTCCTAGGAATAAAAACTGGATACCCCTAAATGAGACTGAATTATTTCAATTCTGCTTCTAATTTTGGCACTGCTGTACCCATGACTTCACTACAGCTGTTCAGTAGGAGTTAACATGCCCAGATGATTAACAAGAATAAAACATTTCTTGTATTTCTCTAGTCTCTTACCAGTGGATTTGGCAGTGCAAAGCCCACGTCTTCATCTATGTGGTACTTTTGGAAGATTTCCCAAGAGCTTTCCACAGGACAGATTCTGTCCTGAGCCATTCTTGCAGTTTGCTCTACTGGCCCTCCTTGGCCTCTGAAAAGTTTCAGAGAGCATTTACTTTTTATAGTGACTGTCAGAGGCAGGAACTAGATATTAGCACGTAGGCAGGGAAAACTAACTTCCACTTTTGGGATAGTTTCATTTTCTACTTTCAGCATTTGGAACTCAGTAAACAATAAAACCACACAAGTACTCTTATTTATCATATGAAGAAACTGAAAGTTGGTACCACATTCACTTCATCGTCTCTGAGGAGCATCATTGACTGACTTCCCTGTGGGAATTCCCAAAGGATGGACCCCGAAGCACAGTCATGTAAAAGTGTTTAAGTTGGGCATGGTGGTACATACTTACAGTCCTAGCACTCTAGGAGTCTGAGGCAGAAGGATCACCAATTTAAAAGCCCAGCCTGAGTAACTTGGTGACTTACCAAGATCCTGTCTATAAATAAATAAATAAATATGACTGACTTCCCTGTGGGAATTCCCAAAGGATGGACCCCGAAGCACAGTCATGTAAAAGTGTTTAAGTTGGGCATGGTGGTACATACTTACAGTCCTAGCACTCTAGGAGTCTGAGGCAGAAGGATCACCAATTTAAAAGCCCAGCCTGAGTAACTTGGTGACTTACCAAGATCCTGTCTATAAATAAATAAATAAATATATAAATAAATAAATAAATAAATAAATAAATAAATAGGTGGTTGATATAGCTCAGTGTGGAGACTCTGGATTTGTTTAATTGCCAGTACCACAATGAACTTTTAAAGCTCAAATTTAAATTAAAAAGAATTTATTATAGCTGCAATGCTAAATTGCCATTTTGTTCTTTGTCTCTTGGTTTTCATTTAAGTTTCTAGAAATGTTTGGAAATATCAGTGCCTTGTTTCAGTAGCCTTAAATACAACCAGGGAGATACTGAGCTATTAGTCAATGGTCCTCAAGTACAGATATAGAGGAGTCCATGAAGAATTGGAAAGATTTGCCTCTCCACCGCCCCATTGCTCTAACCTAGACTTTTTTGTGTTCAAAATAGTGGCATTCTCTCTTCCTTCCTAAAATGTCATTTTTAGAGGGTGGTCCTGCATCTATGTTTGTATTCCAGGCAGTGAAGAGGCATCTGCCTTGCACATTGGAGACTTTCCAGTGTGTCCAAAGCGAAAGCCAAAAATAAAACACCTTGAAGAATTTTTTTTTCAAAATTCAAAATGAAGACTACCTTTGGTAAAGGTTTCCCAAGTGTGTGCCAGTCTTTCTTCTCTTGAAGGCATTGTCTGAGCTAACAGCACTACAACAAAAGTGAAGGCTAGATCATTCCTGTCAAAGATCAAGAGCAGAAGAGACAGGAAGTTCATGTCCAGGACAATGAGAGACTAAGCAGTGTGGCCATCAAGTCCGTCTACGCACCAAACGAATTAATGAGCCACAGCTGAGATACATTCTAGAATTGCTGTGGTGCCACCTCCTTCACATAATGGCTTTTCTGAGAGCAGGTGCTTTTATGAGAATGTTATGTCTTTTTGAAAAAATGGTAAGGGAAATTGAAACCAAAAATAACAGGAAAAAAAAAAGACAGCGCTAAACTTCTTCCAAACAGATGAATCAATGGTTGGGTACTTCTGGAATGAGGTCCAAGGAGAAAGGTGCAAAAAAAAGTCACAGAGCCGATATACACAGCCAGAGGTCAGAGGTCTGAATATAGCATTAAAATTAGAAAATCTGTGATCTTTTTATGATTTTTCATTCTCTGTACCTGAACTTTTCTACATGTATTTACTACATGGAATAAAGTTAGATGATTCTAACTTGGAAATATGTCTCAAGGTTCAATTTTGAAGCAGCATGTTTAAGGAAAACTTAGCTTTACTCCTCTTATTCGTCAACTTTACTAAGTCTATCCTATTTTGTCTACAGGAGCAATAATTATTGACTGCTCCAATTTCTCTAAGTTTTTTACACTTAAGTTCAACCTTTTTCTTATTTTCTAAACTGTATTCTTAATTCATCCTGTCTTCCTCCACCTTAATTCCTCTTTAATTGTAACTGCATTTCCTTGAATACCACTCCCACATGGCTACAGAAGAGTTTCTCAATGTTATGGTCTCACATGGGTGCTCCAACTCGCTCTTTGGTGAGGTTATTGTGCTGGAGAGGACTTGAGAGCCAGAGCTCAGCCTCTTGCTCTATGGCTTCCTAGATCTGAGGCTTCACGTGAATCTATTTCCCTTGTTCACATCGCCTGTCTTGACAGCTGGGATTCTCTCCTTTCTATGTTGCTATTTCCTGCTGTATCCAGGTGGAGATAGACTACATTTCCAGTTGCTCAATGAACATCTCTATTTGGAAACCCGAAATTCCATTACTGTGGACATCGCTGACAATAGCACAGTTACCGTTAGCACCATTACCAGAACATCCATGGAAACACTGCACCCAGGGCTGTGATAAATACAAATTTATCCCTTCTTCAAGACCACCCTCTGTGGTATATCCAACTGACACCCTACCATTGCGATATGCTAATATATAACATATTAGTTTACTTCTACAAGAAAATGAATCTCAGTTAATATGATCTAGCATATGCAAAAAGAGTTAAAGCAGCCATTGAAATACCAACATCTGTGAACATTCGCCCTTAATATTTATGTGATTGTGCATTAAGAGAAGTCAAATTTTACTAGCCCCTTACTAGTTTAAGAAGTTTTCTAAAATCTTAGTTTGTAAAGAAAATTTGACTTTCATAATTATTTTTATTAGGAATATTTCATGATATTTCTGAAAGGGAACTAGGGTGAAAAGACAAAATTAAGCACTCCTTTGAGGAAGAAAATATCTTAGACCTCAAAGTATTTAAAGCATTTTAATAGATGCCTATTAATCAGTAAATGTGCCTACACATGATAATAAAACTATGATAAACAACAAACTGTAGATAGACCCACTGGGGACTTGACACATGGAAAATACATAATTCATTTGTTTAATGTATTTTTTAAAAAGTCAGGACTGGGATATTTTTGTTTTGCATTGTTTCATTTTTTGTACCAGGGATCAAACTCAGGATCTTGTGCTTGCAAGACAGGCTACAGTAACACTGAGCTAAATCTCTGGTCCAGGACTGGGATATTTTGCAGCTACTGCAACCAATGTATAAATGTATGCTTAGGAATGAGCATAATGAGAAGATAATTCTTTTCTTTTTTTTTTTTTTTTTTTTTTTTTTTTTGGTACGGGGTATTGAACACAGGACCTTGTGCTTACAAGGCAGGTACAGTGCCACTGAGCTAAATCCCCAGCCCAAGAAGATAATTCTTAAACTTGCAGATATGTTAGAAGAAAACGGATTAAAGCCAGTAAGAAAAAAAAATCATTAAAAATACAGAGAGACTAAGAAACAGAGGGTGTAGTGAGGAACTCTCAAGGAGACATCATCTCGGCTTTAGAAGAGGCTTAAGGGATAGAGTGAGTGGCAGTAGTTTTAGAGGCAGTGGAGTTGGAGAAGTTTTAAGCTATAGCCAAAGACACTGAGTCCCAAATGGATAGCAGATTATTTACCTCAAACAGATTTAAATGAATTCCAAACTATAGCTAATAACATCCATAGTAGCACTGCTTAAAATAAATGATAAAAATCTTTAAATTTTAAAGATTTTCAGAAATAAAATGAAAAAGATGTTTAAAATAGCAACAAGAAGATTGGTCTTGAATTCTTGAATAAGTCACTGAACCCTGAATGCAGAACGATACCTAAACACCATTGAATGGAAAAAATAGTTAAGCAAGAAATGTGTATTCACAGAAAACATTATTTGAGAATGTCATAAAATAAAACATTTAAAAGCCAACAAAAATTAAAAACATATCACCAGCAAATCCATAATCAAGAAAATATTGAGGATTTTTGGTCAGTTTTTCTAGAAGGAATGTACCCTCAGAGGTAGAAATAGTAGACAGCAGTGACAGAGGTAGCTGCCTGACTAAGTGTAAAAGGACGCCCATAAGACAGTAATGATGAATTACTGCAACAACAGAAGGTAACATGAGGTTTACTTAGATGATATTCACATGCATAAAGACACAGATCGAACTTGTTACAACAACAATTCATTACATTACGCCTATGCGGAGCACAAATGATTTTAAAGCCTTGCATGTTCTAGAAAGAATAATAAAAACTAGTATAGAAGGGTTTGGGAAACTTACAGATGTTTGTCAATCTTCAAGATTTTCCTTAATATATCACAATATATAAACAGAGCCAAAATATGGGAAAAATGGGTTACTAAGTATATCTTAATAAAATAAATACATGAAAAAGCAAAAAAAGAGATGCCAAACAATTGGACTAAAAGGAAAGCAATAGTTCCCTGGCATGTAAAATTATGTGCAAATAGATTAAAAACTATAATTAAAAACTATAATGATTATTAGATTATACTAAAATTGCTTTATGTGCTATATAAAAATATAAAGATGTAAAATACAATACAGAAAGATAAAAATAAAAGACTAAAAAATATATATCATGCAAACAAAATACACATCATGGACACATTAGTAACAATATTTGGTATACCTATATATACATACTGTGTTACACTTTGAAGAAAACAGTTCATTAGAAATTTTGTGAGATTTCTCCAAAGAACAACTTGTTTATAAGAAGCAGATGTTTTAAGGAGGGGGTGTGAAGGAAGGGGGGAGAAAGAGGGAGGGGGAGGAGGGA